GGCTCCCTGCTCAGCGGGAAGCCCGCTTCTCCCTCTCCCACTCCCCATGCTTGTGTTCCCTCTTTCGCTGTGTCTCTCTCTGTCGAATAAATAAATAAAATCTTAAAAAAATAATAATAAAAATAAAAATAGCAAGAATATAGTTGATTTTTACTCTATTTCTGCATTTTCCAAATTTAACCAACCCTTCCTAAAAACCTACAGATCAAAAGAGACTGAGACACATTTGTTAAAAAAAATTGTAAAATAATTAGGAAATGTGAACACTAGGTGGACATTTGACAATATTAAGGAATTACTATTAATTTTGTGTAATGATTTTGTGGGGCTTTTTTTTGCTTTTAAAGAGAGACACCAAGAAATATCAATGAAATACAATGTCTGAGTTCAAAGTACTTAGGGCTGGGGGTCAGTAGAAATGAAACCTGATAAATCATGACTTGGTGAAGTGTGGAGACAGAGTAATCCGGACACTGGGTCAATCACACTATTCCCTCCACTTCTGTATATCTGATGGTTCCCAGAATAAAAAAGTTAAAAGGAAGAAAACCAATAATCCTCTTGATTTACCTTTTCCGGTTCTTGTTTTAGGTGAGACACCCCAACAAACTCTGCTTCTAACTGATAGGTGAGCGCCAGCACCTGGATATCTGTGGCAGAGAGGCTGGGATAGTCTCCAGTTTTCTTTGAAAACTCAGTCACTGTGAAGAGAGTCCCAACTCAAATTAGAAACAAAAAGCCATATGACCTTGGATAACCATAGTGAAAGTATGAAAAAGAACTCAGGATCAATATCCCAAGAAAACCCTTTTAATACTTTCATCCATTTCCTTTTTTCTACTCACTGTTGAGACATTTGTATTCTCTATCATTAAAATTCATGCCAATTAGGTTTACCGTGACCTCCTTATCCAGTGCAGAAGAAGGAACAGGAGAACAAAGTTAACAAAAAGTCACTAAAAGCATGTCTGCAAATGGTGAGAATTCCTTATTAAACTTTGGTATTACGTTGGAATAGAAGGTCTCTTCTCTGGCCTAAAATTCTCTGATTCTAAGTATAACAATCCAGATTAATAGGATATTCAGATTCCAAATGGGATTAAAAGTAAATTCAGTCAATAACTGTTGTAGTTTGTGATGAAACAAAATTATTGGACTGCTCTGCAACAACTCCGCTTTATAACAATAACACATTTCCTTAAAAGCAGATATTAGCAGCTAAAATTTATTGGGCAATTACTATGTACCAGGCACTGTACTAAAAGCTTTTCCATTTTATCCTTCAACCAAATCCTACTAGTAACTGGCAAGGCCTGGCTGACTCCTGACCCAGGGAGCCTCTCTGCCACCATGATCTCCTAGAACGTGCAGTTTCTGAATCAAATGCTGATAAATACCCAGACCTCAACTCGCACCCGAGTCGGTCCCGAGCGGGTAGCCTGGGACCCCGCTTCGCCATCAACACCAGGGCAGAAGCACTCACCCAGCCGCACGTATTCTGGGAAGGGCTCCTTGAAACGCAGCTCGTAGGGCAGGACGGCGAGCCGCCTGCGCGTGGCCTTGTCCCGAATCTCGTTCACCACATCCCGGATAGTGTAGATGTTCTTCCCGATGTCCTGCGGAGAGACCCGCCCAGCTCACACCCGTCCGCACCACGCAATGCGCCCCCAACTTCCCGCACTGCTTCAGGGGTCGCCAGCCCAGACCCTGCTCCTCTTGGCGGTAGCTCTCCGTACCTGCAGAGCCGCGTCTCGCAGGAAAGCCCCGGCATCCGCTACAACGTGCTCCACAGGCGCCATCTTGACCGAACGCGCCCTCAGCGCGCTTGCGCACGGAGCTGGCTCCACCCCTACATCCCAATCAGGGCCTCTGGGAGCAGGGAGGTACAATTGTGACTTAGCGGCGCCTCCTGGCGGCCGCATAGGCATTTTCCGGCTCAGGGCTACCCGCGCGCATGCGCGAGGTTGCCTGCAGCCCAGCCAGGTGTGGGCAGGGTCAAACTTAGAGAGACGCCATAGGAGATAGGCTTCTGCGTCCACCGCTTAGCGCCTTCTTTACTTTTAAATGTAAAACCTGTATGTAGTCTTATTGTTACAAGTCAGTCAATACAGAGAAACTACAGATCATTTAAAGATCACAAGTCTGTGAGATAGGTAGTTTTACAAGTAAGGGATAGCTACTCAAGACAGCTAGGCTCAGCTAACATGTCTAATATTTGGTTTTAAGATTAACACCTGGGGGCGACTTTTGATCTCAAGGTCGTGGGCGTGGAGCCTACTTACCAAAAAAAAAAAAAAGAAAGATTGATTAACGGACAAACCAACCCCTGAGCCACTTTCTTATCCACTATGCTCTATTGGACCACTGCTTACGTACCCCAACTTCATTTTAAGAGTCTTTGACATCCTCGCCCATTTCTCTAAACAAGGGACGCAAGTTACTAGCAAATCCTTTGCTGGATGGAACTGAAAGGGAGTATTAGATGACTTCTAAATTCCTTTTCAAATCTGAGATTCTATAATTATGGGATCTGGCCTGTTAAAATTCATGCAGAATTTCAGCAGAATGATGACGTGGGTTTTCTGTCATTCATCTTCAGCGACGTTGAGTCATTACAAGCCTTCAATCTTATCCCTCGATGATAATTTATTCATCCTACCCTCAAAAACATTTCGGTGCCCTAGGCGTCCCTTTCAGCAGTTGCCCAAATTCCCTTTCTTTCCCCAAACATCTGTCTCAACTTTGCCTACCATTTATTCTCTCCAATCTCCAGAACCAATGGCTCCTGTCCTACCTGCCCTGCCTGAAATGGCACGATGGAAAGCTGTTTCTAATGTTCTAGTTGATCATATCAATTTTTTTTGTTTTATTTTTATTTCTCAGCTTTCTGTTTCTTTGCCAAATTTGACATTGCTGACCATGTCCTCTTTCTGGACTGTCTCTTCTCCCCTGACTTTGGTAATACTTAAGGATCCTGGTCCCCCTGCCTCTCTGATGGCTTTCCACCCTCTTTCACTGGACTCTATTCTGCCTTGCACGCAGGGCACCCCCCGCGGAACTGTCTTGGCCCCGTTGTCCTTCTAAGTTCTCTCCTTCAGCAATACTATCTATCCTCAAGGCTTCAATTATTACATTATAGGAATGCCTCCCAAATCTTTAGATTCGATCCCTATTTATTCCCCAGTCTAGCTTTCTGGAAACATCCATCTAAAAATTTTAGACATCTTGGGGCGCTTGGGTGGCTCAGCCAGTTAAGTGTCTGCCTTTGGCTCAGGTGGTGATCCCAGGGTCCTGGGATGGAACCCAGAGTCTGACTCCCTGCTCAGCGGGGAGCCTGCTTCTCTCTCTCCCTCTGCCAGCCATGCCCCCTGCTTGTGCTCTCTCTGTCAAATAAATAAACAAAATCTTTAAAAATAAATAAATTAAAAATAAATAAAAATTTTAGGTTATCTTCACTCAGGGGGAAGGTTAAAACTGATATAATTATCTCTTAACCTGCTTAAACTTTTTTCACTCATTAGAGTTCTTATTTTTTACTAGTGGCATTTCCAACAAAGGCACTCAAGGTAAGAATGTGAGTCATCTTAATTCCCACGTTCATTTTTTAAAAAAAGATTTAATTTATTTGAGAGAGAGAAAAAGAGCATGAGTCGGGGTGAGGGGCAGAGGAAGAGGGACAGAGAGAATCCCAAGCAGACTCCCCGCTGATTGTGGGGCGCTATACCAGGCTCATTCCCACTACCCTGAGATCATGACCTGAGCCGAAACCAAGAGCTGGACGGCTTAACTGACTGAGCCACCCAGGTACCCCCTACCTCCATACCTTCTTTTTAAACCAGTACTCCCCTTGATGCCACTTCTGACCTGTGACCCCTCTACATTTATTCCCCTTACTCTAAATAAGTTTTAATCTCATGCCTAGACTATACAATCCACTCAACACTAGTATTCTTTTCTCTCCTTCTTTAATTGATTGCTCCTGTTGCCTAAAAAGGGAGGATGTGGGAACTGGACTCCATAATAGAAGAGGTTTATTAAAGTTGGCAGTAATAATTCTGTAAACCCTAGGATGAAGAAGAATGATCTAGATCAATGGTTCTCAAACTGGAGTGTGCATCAGAATCACCTGGAGAGCTTGTAAAACCAGATGGGTAGGGGTGCCTGGCTGACTCAGCCTGTGGAGCATGCAACTCTTCATCTTGCGGTCCTGAGTTTGAGCCCCACATTGGGTGTAGAGGTTACTTAAAATCTTAAAAACCAAAACCAAACCCAAAAATGGATGGCTAGGCCTCTTCCTCAGATTCTGATCTGTAGATCTGGGCAGTGCCTGAGAATTTGCATTTCTAATAAGTTTTATGTGATGCTGCTCTTGCTGAGCTGAGGACACACTTGAGAATCACAGATTTAGGGGACTAGTCAGGAGAAGGAAGATCAGGCTTTGAACCATTCATTCTCCAGTGAACACTGAGAATATTTATTGATACAAAAGGTCTCTTGATACCTTGTATCTTTTGTCATTTTTAATAGTATTTTAATTGCTTTTCTGTTACCTTGTAACATTAGTCTCCAAGTCCCCTAAAGCCTTAGAAGGAATCTAATTTATTCCACAAATATGTATTGGGAGCTCCTTTATACCACCATGGGTTGGGTGATATAACAAAATGGTATTTATTTATTTATTTGAAGATTTTATTTATTTATTTGACAGAGACAGCGAGAGAGGGAACACAAGGAGGGGGAGTGGGAGAGGGAGAAGCAGGCCTCCCGCCAAGCATGGAGCCTGATGTGGGGCTCAATTCCAGGACCCTGGGATCATGACCTGAGCCGAAGGCAGACGCCCAAAGACTGAGCCACCCAGGCGCCCCAACAGAATGGTATTTAGTGTAGTGTCTAGGGGCACCTTCAGAGTCTGTGACTTTGGAGCCAGATCTTGAAGGACAAGGAGGGCAGAGGCACTGAGGTATGAAAGTCCAAGTGGTGTTCAGAAAATTGAAGGTAGTATGTGTGGTAGCCGAGGGTATCTGGGGACGGGATCTCTCACAGGTGAAGTGAGCCCTGAAACACTTCAATTTTTTGAAGTTTATGGTTTTTCAAAAGGTAAAGAAATCTAACACTATTACAAAAATTATGGTCACTTTAAACAGTTTGCATTAAATTAACACTTTGAAACACATGTAGAAGGATTCAATGTATGACTCATTTGGAGATAATGTCAACTTTTACCTGTGAAGCCCTTTATGAAAAGAGAAAGGTTGGGGCGCATGGGTGGCTCAGTTGGTTAAGCATCTGCCTTTGGCTCAGGTCATGTTCCTGGGATCCTGGGATCGAGCCCCACATTGAGCCCTGCATCGGGCTCCCTGCTCAGCGGGGAATCTGCTTCTCTCTCAGCTCCTCCACCCACGCCCCCAACTTGTGCTCTTTCTCTCTCTCAAATGAATAAATAAAAATCCTAAAAAAAAAAAAGAGTGAGAGAGAGAGATCTTACTTGTGTGCCAATGAAGATCTGAGTTCATTTCCAGGACTGTACACGTAGAGGCTACGAAACTATGCACTTAACAGTGGGCTAGGAAGAGAGAAAAACTTGATGCAGAAGAAACACTATGTGAAATCAATAAGTATCCCTAGAATTCCTTTGAACATTCTTGGGAGAGTCCCAAACTTTTTGTCTCTGTCTTTGCCCTTGTTTTTTCTTCTTCCAGAAAATTGTGCTGGCCAATCACTACTTGCTTAGTCTCCAAGAAGCAGTTCAGTGGTCCCTTCTGTAAACCAGTCTCTGATTACTCAAATCAGATTTTTCCCCAAGGACAGATTTGAACTTTTCTTTCTTATCACACTTAAGACGTTTTAGTTCTGTTGCTCAATGAGCAGTTATTATTTCTGCTTTGCATTGTAATTAATTGTGTATCTTTTAAGATTTTATTCATTTGAAAGAATGAGAGAACATGAGCAGGGGGAGGAACGGGGGTGGGGGAGAAGACCCCCCGCTGAGCAGGGAGCCAGATGTGATGTGGGGGCTTGATCCCAGGACCCCTGATCCCAGGACCCCAGGATCATGACCCAAGCCAAAGGCAGCCGCTTAACTGACTGAGCACCCTGGGGCCCCAATTGTATGTCTTCTTTAAGTAGGTTGGAAATCAGGGACTGTGTTTTAGGGGTCTTTTTCCTCAAATGAACATTTCAATTTACCTTTTAACTTTCAGGGGACACTTTTATCAAAACGTACTTTAGATTTTTTTGTGTGTCTTTTAGAAAAGTCTTCTATACTGTGGGATCTACAGCAATGTGTTCAGTGCTCAATAAAGGTTGATGAAATCTATTCATTCAGCAGTTTATTTAAGGAGACCTCCCGTGAGCCAGGCACTGCTTTAGGAATATGGCTTTAGGGATATGGCTCCTGTCTCATAATTCTTGTAGTGGGAAACAGATTACATACACACACATGCATACATTCATATATGTCAGATAGTGAAAAGTATGGAGGAAATCTGGACAAAAAAAATAAAGCAGGAACAGGGGCTGGTAGGAGGGGAAGTAAGAGATGGGTTGCATGGTTAAATAGGCTGATCAGGAAAGGCTTTACTGTGATAGTTGAGCAAACATCTGATGAGAGATGAGGGAGTCAGCCATCTGATTCTGGGGAAAGAGCTTTCCAGGCAAACGGAAAGTCAAATCCAAAAAGAGTAACTGGAGATGAGGTGTGGGGAGGGATCATGTAGGGCCTCGTAGGTGACCATATATATATATACACCTTAGGTTTTACTCCTTTAACGCACAATTGTGAGCATGTTCGCTTAGTCCTTTTTTTTTTTTTAAGATTTTATTTATTTGACAGAGAGAGAGGGGGAGAGAGAGCGCACAAGCAGGGGGAGTGGCAGGCAGAGGGAGAGAGAGAAGCAGGCTCCCTGCAGGGAAGGGAGCCCAATGCGGGGCTCCATGAGGGGCTCATCCCACAATCCTGGGATCATGACCTGAGGTGAAGGCAGAGGCTTAAGGGCTCTTAACTGAGCCACCCAGGCGCCGCTGCCTAGTCCTTTCTTTTGGTAAACATATATTCAAATGCCACCAAATCAAGGAATCCTTTCCTAATTCCTCTGGAATAAGTAAAACTTCCTTCAGTGGAACTAGAGAAGTTTTAATAGTTTCATAAATGGAATTAATGTAGAGTTTAAGATATTAAGAGAGGCCTGTATCTCCATGAAATACCATCTCCTGGATTTGGAATAGGAATAGGAAAAGTAGAGACAAAGTGCTCAACCAATTTAATTTGCATGCATAATAGGATCCATGTAAATTCGAAACCCCAAAAATAACAGAATAATTAATTCACAGTGCTTAAGGCTAATTGATTAGTATTAATTTTAGTTAATGGTGATTAAGAGTGAAAAAATTGAGTCTTCATTCAACTTATCAAAGCTGAAGGTCCATACTATTAGTACAGAATGTTGATTTAAAATGTGCTTTATAATTAATAAAATTCTATCTGCTTTGTAGATTAAGAGAATGGGGTCTATCTAGTTTGGTGTGGCGGGGCATTTTATGGACCCATCCAGGGGTTTTGAAGCTTTCCTATCTTAGCTCTATGTCACAAAAACAGATGCTCCATAAAGGCTACTTTTGTGTTTTTCTTTTTTTTTTTTTTAAAGATTTTATTTATTTTTTGACAGAAAGACAGCGAGAGCGCGAACACAAGCAGGGGGGGTGGGAGAGGGAGAAGCAGGCCTCCCGCTGAGCAGGGAGCCCCATGCAGAGCTCCATCCCAGGACCCTGGGATCATGACCTGAGGCTTAATGACTGAGCCACCCAGGTGCCCCTACTTTTGTTTCTAGAGCCTAGAATGGTGCCTGGTATCTACTAGGTATAGGGTTGCCGGATACAGCTAGTAAAAATACAGAATGCCCCAATTTTTAGCTAAACAACAATTTTTTTTGACATATGGCATGGGAGTATTTATAGTATAATACTCTCCTGCAGTATTTGGGGCACATCTACATATTGCATAGTTGATTATCTGAAATTCAAATTTAAATAGGCGTCCGTATTTACTGGGTAACCCTAAGTAGCTCAATAAATTTGTTGACTTGATTGGCTTCCTCTCACCTGTAAAATAGGGCTAATGATAGACCCGCCTCCGGGGTTGAGGGAGTGAATGAAGCGCCTGGCAGACACTGAGCCTTCAACTTATTTGCTTGCTCCCGGGACCATCTGGTGAGTGGAAACCCCTTCCACTTTGACATATACAACGAATAAGAGGGCCGGCTCCCGGCCAAAGGCGCCCAAGCCAGGCCTAGGTTGCCCACACCTGCTGGTCCGGCCAGCCTCTTCCGGGTCAGGTGACCGCGCGCAGTCACGTGACCCGGCCCGAGTGAGGGCGGTGGAAGGCGGAAGTGGGAGCGGAGTTGGGCGCCGCTTCTGTGGCCGCGGCAGGTAGCGAGCGCCGGCGCGATGGGCGCGGGGGGTGCG